ACCAGTCGTACTGGAGATATGAACTTCCAAGTTTCTATGTTTGATTTCAGGCGGCTAAATCCCCACCAAAAGATCACTCTGAGTATACCCACACCGAGGTTGGTCCCTACAGCGAGCTGGATTTTTGTGGCTTTTTTGCTCCAGCAAAATCGATGTTCAACCAGCTGATTATTGGTTGTCCTTTGAATATCCTAGCTGTTGGATGATTTCGGACGATGTCAGATGATGTCGGATGTTCTTGGATGATGTTGATGTTGGATATAGGTGAAGCTCCCCAATGAACCTTTTGGCATCCCAAGTTTGAAAAAGGTGTGTCGTCCTTTGGAGGTGACCCTGTGCTTGGTCTTTGGCTAAGAGAATGCAATAGATACTGTACCCTTCTGGTGAATGTGAGTCGGCATTGGTTTTATGCAGTATGATGATTATGACGTGTTTCTACTCAGGCAAGCTGGAACTTATTTAGAGCAATCGACAATTATCCCCTCGAGTATCATCAAAATATTTGCATGTGCCAACAAATAAGACCCCCCAAAGATTTGTCCAGATCCAGAAACCACCAAGCCTCGGATCCAATCAACGAACTGAATCGATCTATAAACAATGTTCATATATATATATATATATGATCACTGCATCCAGAGGTTTCACTTCCATGGCCCGTGTGGCCCCAAGCCATGATGGCAAAGACATGGATGCAGGCGGGGCCAGGGAGCGAGGCGAGCCATTGGAACATGGCAATTGGAAATCCACCACTTAGTATGTTGATTTTCCCCAGCTATGAAGCTGCATGTATGGAGGATTTCCCAGCTTGCCATGGATGACACCAGAGAGTATTGATATTGATCATCAATGCAGGGTGCTGGCTCTGGCCCTTGGTGCCCTTGGTGAATTCACGAAGAGCCCAGTTCAATGGCATTACAAGCCTCATATCATATCTACACAGAAAATACATGTCGAACCACGGGCCCCCGGCCCCATGTTTTTGGATTGCTGAGTTGCAAGTAGCAATTCTCCAAGGATTGTTCCTGTGTTTCCTAGTTTCTACCCTGAGGAGTTCAGAGTCCTATCTCCAGACTCCCACATTGCAAAATTCTGACATCCTGGAAACCTTCTCAAGGTCTTCTTTCTTTGCTGGTTTTTGAATCATGGCATGCCTTGTCAGTGTTTTCGGCTGGTTTTGCTTGGTCCCCTGGGCTACCATTTTGGTGTTTTCTTACGGGATTTTGTCCCTGGTAAACCTAGTCCTTTGCTGCTGGTGTTGCCTCTGATGAACCAGGATTGGTACAGAGACCATCCCTCTTTGGAGGTGTATGGCAATTTGGCTGAATTGAATATTTCACATATTTCACTCTTCACCTTAAGCTGAAATGATATGATTTTGAATGGTTCCCGTCCGGCAGCATACATAAACCGTTTAGTTTATTTTCCGTTGCTGGAAAAATGAATGCACCGACTAGCCAGACCAAGCTTTTCCCAGAATTCCTAGGCTGGGTTCCCATGGTTTGTCGTCTGGCTATTAGATAGATCATTCATATATATAATATAATATAATATGTTTTATATAATATGTATAATATAATACAGTATATATACTAACTTGTAAAATATTATATATTATATACATAATATAATATATATGATATAATATATTATATATATAATATAACATAATGTAATATAATATAGTATAATATAATATAATAGAATATAATTTAATATAATAATATAATATAATATAATATAATATAATTTAATATATAATATAATATGATATGATATGATATGATATGATTTAATTAATATAATATAATACATAAAGCAACCAATGTTTAGGATACACAACCTCAACCAATGCTAGCATCATTTAGCATGATCAATACTGGCAGAAAGCTGCGGTAAGATTCCTTTTTTGCGTTTTCATATGGGGAAGATATTTGGGGCTGCAGCTAGGGTTCTAATTGAATATATGTAACTATATATATATAACTATATATTTATAACTATATACATATGTATAATTATATATATATATACATAGAGAGATAATCATAGTTGTAGGCGATATGTCCAAACTTATGCGGGTTATCCCACTTTTTGTCAGGCGCCCGGCTGCGCGACCTTCGCGACCTGCGCAACGCAGCGCGACAACCGAAAAGTACGACTGCGCCGGTGGCGGCGAAAGCAGCCCCCTCGCGGTGTCGAAGGATCTGGTTGCAGCTTGGAATGTTGATGATGTTTGATGATTTTTTGCCACATGTTGTGATGCAGCTTTGGGGATTGAAATAGTTTTAAAGTTTTTTTTCTTAAGTGAGGATTTGCTTTTTTCCAACAGAAATAGGGATTTGTGCCTGGGGTTCTACATGACAAATGGAGTCGTGATAATGAAAAAACGATGAAACCACCAGAAATGAATATGTCAAAGGGGTCATGATAGTTGTGTCAATCCATATTTCTGATATATAATTGGGAATGATGTAACCAACAAATTGAAGGTTGGTGTGGTGGGCTCAAATATTTGCTATTTTTGGGGTTGCTATTCTTGAGATGGGGCGAACCCACCAGGCAGTGGCAAAAACATACCATTTTTGGACCCTATTTGGATGCGATTTGTCATAACTCCAAGCATAAAGGGTTGTCATTTGGCAGACTTGGTATAGTTCCACAAGATTGTATGACACATTTCATGATTCCAGAAAAATTTTGGTTCGATTGTACCTGTCAACACGATTTGTTGAAATGATTGACCATGTAACTGTCAGCACATAGTACAGTATATATATACATATTATATATGTCACTCATATTTTTCAGAATGACTGGGCCAAGAATAAAACATCAAGAACTATCTTCAGAAACAACGTGTAATATTGTGCGAATCGAATACACGGAATATACCCTCTGGTTATTTAACATAGCCATGGAAAATGGTTCATTTATAGATGGTTTACCTTAAAAAAATAGTGATTTTCCATGGCTATGTTAGTCATAACCAGATGGTGGACTGGATCAGTTCAGATCCCCTGAGTCCCCATTAGGGGCTTTATCTGAAAATAGGCTACCCCCGAAATCCTTTGGTGAAAAATCCATGTTCCCTACGAAATGACAATTCAAATTGGGTATCATTACCACATTTTCAGACAGACCCATATATCATGTTGTTGGTGATATATCTGATATATAGTACATGAAATAATATATATATATATATCGGGATAGTTTGGTTAAGAGCCCCCAATGAGAGCCGTCCATTCCACAGCAGTTGAACACGAACGTTATTAGGGGGGCGTGTGAAACGTGCACAACTTCTGGGAAACGCGCACAACTTCTGTGAAACGTGCACAACTTCTTGCAAATGTGGACAACTTCTATGAATTCGATGACAAGTTCTCAAACACTGCAAAGAGCTCTTAATCAGACTATATACCCATATATATATATATTATATTATAAAATTATATATACATATTACTAGACTATAATAATATAAGTAATTATATAGTCGTCTATTTAACAGTTGGATCCGCCGGAGTCCGCGTGTTTTTCCAAGGAGCTTCGTGGATGCTGTGCCCTGGCCATGGCTGGCCATGGTGGTTTCCCGGGCTGGGGGTACCCCAATGGCTGGATGGTTTATCCATGGAACATCCGAAAATCAATGGATTTGGGGCTCCAGTTGGCACCCTTGAGACCAGTATTTTTTTACTGTTAATAACTTAAAGTCGCCACTCAATGGAGTGTAAGATTGGAACCAGAGACCAGAATTTTTCGAAGTATGATGAAACATGGGGGTTCCTTTTTTATATTCCTTTTAAAGAATGGGAATCATCCAGAATCCTCATAAAGTATCCTTCTTGAGCATGGTGATCCCGATTGACATTGGATGATCCTTCCAGCCCTAGGACTGTGATGGCGATGTGGACTGGAATGACGCGGAAGCGGTCTCCAGCGCCCGCACCTTGAACAGATGCTGCCCAAATCATGATGGAAAATCCACGGGAAAATGATGGGAAATGATGGGAAACATAGCCAAATCCCATGGTCTACAGTATCAATGTTTATAAGATGCGTCCTACCTTAGGAAATAATTTTGAGGTGGGGGTTGGTTCCAAAATATTTTTTTAAAAATAATTTCCAATTTTTAACATAAATTTTATGTTAAAATCACCCGACAAGAGCCATAGCAGAATAATTTTTGCACCCGTACCTTGATGATGGTGCAAAATAATTTTCCACCTACAGAGGTTGAAGCACCTTGAAATAATTTTAAACAAACAACTTAAGGCACTTCAAAATAATTTCTCAGTTGAACTGGGGAAATTATTTCATATAGTTCCAACTGTATAAAATAATTACCAGACACCCATGATGAAAATTATTTCATGGGGTGGGGGTACTTGCAAACCACCTGCAAAATAATTTCAGCATATTACATCAAATTTCAACTACATATTTCAACATGTTCAGTCAGGATATTCTTTGAATCAATCTGCAGCCATTTCCAACTTCATTCAAGCCACATCCCGTCAATCCCAACACATCCCAGGGAAGTTGAGTTTTGCAAGGTTAGGTTTTTTTGGATTTCTGGGGTGGTCTAGTAGTTAACCACCCCCAAAATAATTTTCGGGGAGAGAGGAATCGATTCAGGTTTCTTTGTCCAAAAGCCGGTGCTAAGTCGATGTTCTAAAAAATAATTAGTTCAGCCAGTAATTCATGGTAAATCTCAGGGTTTGTCTGTTCGAGGCAATTTGGATTTTGAACTACTCAATGGGAAGTTAATTTTGCCAGTTTAGGCTATTATTATTTCTGGGGTGGTTTAGTAGTTAACCACCCCCAAAATAATTTATGGGGTAGGAAGGGGTCGGTTCAGATTTCTTTGTCCAAAAATCGATGGTCTAAATCATAGGTGGTTTAGTAGTTAACCACCCCCAAAAAATAATTAGGTTCTCATGTTTTGATTCTTTCAGACAGTTTGGGTCAATTTGGATCAGGTTTGGCATTTTTGACCTATTCCAGGGAAGTTGAGTTTTGCAAGGTTAGGTTATTTTGGATTTCTGGGGTGGTCTAGTAGTTAACCACCCCCAAAATAATTTTCGGGGAGAGAGGAATCGATTCAAGTTTCTTTGCCCAAAAGCCGATGCTAAGTCGATGTTCTAAAAAATATATAATTAGTTCAGCCAGTAATTCATGGTAAATCTCAGGGTTTGTCTGTTCGAGGCAATTTGGATTTTGAACTACTCAATGGGAAGTTAATTTTGCCAGTTTAGGCTATTATTATTTCTGGGGTGGTTTAGTAGTTAACCACCCCCAAAATAATTTATGGGGCAGGAAGGGGTCGATTCAGATTTCTTTGTCCAAAAATCGATGGTCTAAATCATGAAATTCCGACAATGCTTGTCGGGTGCATTCGGGAGGATAGGTAGGGTGACCCCCCAAAATAATTTTGTGGGGATTTTTGCTAATTATTTTGAGGTGGTTCTACTTGTTTTTTCAATCATCCAAAACCATCTTAAACCACCTTGAAATAATTTCCAAAATTCTTTTGAACTAAGGGAAGTGTTTTTGAGTAATAGTAGAACCCTACAAAATAATTTATTTGCAAATTTTCAGAAATTATTTTGAGGAGGTGGGTAGTGATAAAGGATATTATTTTGGGGTGGTTAGAGTGTTTTGGAAAAAAATATTTTGTAGTGGGTTATGTACTAGAAGCACCTCAGAATAAATCCCAGAAATTATTTTGGGGGGTCACCCTAGTGATTTTACCCAGGGTAGCCCGCATTTTATAAGTCATAATTTATCGCAATTTATGTGTCTTCATTTTTTGGGGGGGGTATAGAGTTATTACCATGTCATACCAAGTTATACCCCATTCTCAGACACACACAGGTCAGCCGAAGTCACTTCAACATACTTCGACAAAATGGAAGATTCCCTGCCCTTGGACTGTGTCCATGTTTGTCCATCCCGGGCTGAATGATCCAACCAATCCAACTGAAGAGATTGAATGATCTAAACACATCTCACCCAAAATTGGGGTAGCAATCCACAACTTTGGGGATTTATGCAGTTGCCAACACGCGATCTGGGTTAGTTCATCCTATGGGTAGATGACCCCAATTTCTAGGGATTTTCCATATCTTTCCATCCTATTTATGATTAGTGGAGGCCATCATTGATATTCCCAGAATATGACCAAGTCGCAAAAATTGTGGCTCACTTCTTGAGCCCATTTATTTGGTACCCTTCGAATCTCTCTATAGTGCGCTTTATACACCTGGTATAGTTTCACCTATAAGTCCTGTCATCAGCCCTTGCTCGCACCAAACACTTGCACTTATCCCACTTACATCTTACGCCTATTTCGAGGGGCTTTGGCAGAAAATGGATCCACGAAAGGGTCATGGTGTATCACCATTTCCCCCTTAGTTTCCCATCTTTTCCCATAGTTTCCCATATTTTCCTATATTTTCATCCATATTTTCCCATATGTTCCCATAGTTTCCCATATGTTGGCCATAACTGGAGGGTACTGGCATCCTCAGGTTTGGCGGAGCATTTCTTCTCGGGTCGTGGCATGGACAGGCGCTGTTCGGGCTTGAGCCAAAATGGGGGGATTCCCAATGAGTGGCGCTGAGTTTTTTGTCGAAAAATGAGGTGTTTGACAGTTTGACCATCAATTTTTAAGGGTGAATTATTTGAAGACCCCATATCCAAGGGGTGGTGAATTACCCTTGCTGAAGGGTTCCTGTAGTGGTTAATTTTGAACCGGACATGCGGATACGTCATCACTTCTGCAACTACTTTTTCAGTTATGAAAACCAGGGTAGAATGGGTGAACTGACCTACAGATCTGGAAAACAAGGCTTGGAAGATGATTTCACTTCAAGACATTGGCTCCAATGTGTTTTCGATCTCACTTTACGGTGGGTCAAAATTGCATACCCAAAAGTTGATAGTTGATCAGTATTTTTGACGGAGACTTGCAAATTGTTGTGGGTCATTGGAAGTCATTGGTAGCCTGGGTTTTAGCCATGCTCCTACAATGTAGGCGCAGCAAGGATCAAATGATTTACCACAGAATTTCAACAAATCCAACGGTGCTTTGGGCCTGAAATTGAAAGACATCCAAGTTGAGGTCCGGAGATTCCCCCGTTTCTCGATCTACCTTTAACCTGATCCGTTTTTGTCGGCTTCCAGGTGAAACCCCATGGCCCCATGGCTATTTTGTTGGGGCCCCGATCGATCCTTCCAGCCAGACGCTTTCAACGGCAGCTCCGGAGCGAGTCACGACGACCACGGCAACGAGGCACAGGGCCAACGCTGCAGGTGGAGGTTCAACTTTGAAGGGTCGAGGGCCCGAGGGCTAGAAAGAAAAGATGGGTGAAAACATTGAAAAATCATACTTGTTGATGGGTCATGCAGGTCTGACCTGTAAATTTGTGGAAAATGTGACTTGAATTATTTCAACTGTGGCTGGTACGACCAACTGATCCATACTGGGAGTTGAAGCTGAGCCAGCAACAGGAGGCTGTGGACATGGGCCCTAATTTGCGAACCTATTTGGGGAAGGCATGGGAAGGCTACATTCTGATACATATATATATATATATGTATATATTATATACAAGTACTAGTATATCCAATGGGAACCAAAATGTCTCAGTTTCTTTTTTGCTCCTTGCTGCATGGATAGTTTTTTTTTCTGGACTGTTAAACAAACCTGACAAACCCTTCCGAACAATGCCAGCAGTGGCTCAAAATGATCAGGCCCCAAAGGATTCCAAAGATGTCTAAGTTTTGTTACCAACTTTTAGGAGCAACTGGAATGATGAAAGGCTCCAGGGTCGCTCTAGAAACCTTTAAGATAGCAAGTCCCTGCAGCGAACTTGTCACCAGGAAGGAAGTGTCGTCCAAGTTCCAATCCACTTGGAATTTTGGAAGCTCAAATTGTTGAATATTTTGTATAGAGCGAAGTTGGATACTTCAGTACCAAAAATGATGAGAATTGCAAAATTACTTGATCAATAGAAATCATTTTGGCAAAATTGAAGAGTAAATACCAAGAACGCCCCATTGCTGTGATTGCTATCGCATTTTGGATCGTGATGGGCAGTGTGGTGTGACTCAAAAACTGAAAATTGACTGTAATTCCAACATTCAAAATTTGAGACTCGACAATCAGTGGGTCTGAACATGGAAGCCCCCCTACAGGATGGTGCCCCCCAGTTATAAGGTGGTTTATAAACCCCATTAACTATAGTTATATCTACCATAAACCATAGTGAAATGGGAGTTATTTGCACCAACTTAGCTAACGAACTGGGGCACCACCTTGTAAAATGACCAACAAATGATGAGAAAATTTATCCGATCGCTAGGTCCACTCGATGGCGAGGAAGCGCAGCCGCAGGACGAAACAAATGGGGTGGATACTACCTGGGGCACCTGCAAAAGTTCTTTGAGAACCATAGCCATCGATAGACATTGTGTATATATGCATATATATATATAATATATATATACAAATATATGCAAAATATCTCTACACTGTTCTACTTGGAAAATGCCCCCAGATGTGTTCCCTGATCCCACTCCTCAGCGCGAGGTTCACAGAAACGCGCTGATCATGTTTGCCTCGCTCCTTGGTCGGAGATGGGAATATGGCAGGGTTCAATCCGACAAGACTAGGCAGTCACCCTATACCCAGCAAAACTAAGCCTGAACAACCCGTGAACATAGTCCAATTACAACTGGGAGGTACTGGTACTGGGTACTGTACTGTGTAGCCACGAGAAAGCGGAGATTGAAACTACATGAGTCAACAAGACAGAGCAACATCCGCAGATGACTCTAAGCATGAAGAGACATGGGGTAGTATAATAACCCCGTGCATTGCATTTTAGCTTGACTTGCACTTTAACACTGCCAATACGTTGCCGGCCCAGAAAACGATAAGAGGAAAAAAAACGATAACGATGCTCATATAATATATATATATATGTATTTATTTATTTATAATATATAATAACATATATTATACATACATGATATGAGTTACGGTCAAAACTCGATCTGGTATATTACTTTTGTAAGGAGAGTTCTCGGGTGTCAGGAACTTGCACAAAACACTATGTATCTATAGGTTCCCCCCAAAAGCGATACCTGCAATTGAGAATAAACGTTGGCAGCTCCATGGGATTGGACCAACTTGCTGAGTCTCATGTGTTTTGTTGCCCGCAGTCGTTTGCATGGACTACGAAAATGAGAACGTGCAGAGGGGACCAAAACGATAACGAAACGATAACGAAACGATAACGAAAACGATAAGGAATTGTAGCAAAAAACATGCCGTGTGAGCAACTACCCATTTGACAGGTTTCACGAGGCTTTTTGAAAACAGAAATGTGTGGCATGGTAGTCTTGTTTAGCTTTTCCTCTTTACCGGCTTTGCCTCACCTTGGCTTCTGCCATGTCTTTACCACCCAAGACTGTCTATGCCTTGCTGCAGCAAGTTTTGAAAGATCCTGAAATCGGACCTGGTGCAATTTCAGAAGCAAAAAAGCAATGTCCCGGACTCCTTGCCCTAATCTCACAGACCAAAAAAAGAGTTGCAGAAAACTAGTCAAGTGCTGAGATGCTTCACGATTATGATCCATGTCGAAGATTGCACACAGGACAATATGTTTTGATCTTCCACAAACAATTCTTTCACACCTATGGAAGCCTGGTAAATTCACACTTCTTGTCTACAGGGAGCTCACCACCTGAGAAAACGATAAGAGGAAAAAAAACGATAACGCGATTTTGGGTAATTTAAAAAGATACGGGGTTTTTATACAACCCCACATATCAAAATCACTTTCTTCGACATCGTGTACAAACTTCAGTCAATTGCAGAGGAACAAATCTCTAGGTGTCCCCTGCAGTAAATCAGCGCTATGGAAAGCCCATCATAAGATCCTTTTCCCAACTGGACAACCCATAGCTTCATAGAGCCACCAGCTGATCACTGAGGAAGGTGACCGGCAAGGTCATTGAAGATCAGGACGACTATTGGCATCTCGTCGGTCCGTGAATTTACATATGGGGGGGATACCATTTATAGAGGGAACCACTACGTACAGTACATTACAGTACTATTTTTGGGAAACCCACCACATTTATAAATTATGATAAATTGGTGGTTAATTCATCCGGGATTAAGATTCAATCGTAGCCGCAAGGGAAGGTTGGAATGTTTATAACTTCACCTCTTTATCTTGCCATTTCCTTCCCTTGCATATACTCACTTGATCTCACTTGTATCTGGGGTGTTGGGAGCAACCCTGGATCATGGACTATCAGTGTAATTATTGCGGAATCATGTGGATAATGAACATATGATTGTGATATGGGGACAAGCTGGATAAATATAGCCTCATGTCCCAAAAATGATGGTGTTTGCATTGGGGTAGCTATCCCAAATATGTTTATTCATCCTTATTTCAGCTTGGTGAATTCTTATATTTATTATATTTCTATATCCAAAATTGAGACTTCCTGGGTAAGATCGGGATATTTGCCGCAATGAAGTCTGTTTTTGTCTGTTTTACTATCAGGATTTAGCCAGTTGGGATAAAACCATTGGGATTGGTGGTCCCCGAGGATTTGGGCACATCACCCAGCTGCTTTGTTTCGTCGGTGATTTGGTTGATTCAAAACCAATGGAACTCCACCACTTGGGGAATTTATAGGGAATATGTGGATTATTTTTGAAGGGATTCCTTTTCGGAAAATCCAAGTCACAGCACATATATTGCAACTTATCGAATGTTATACTTCTAAAGATACACACAGTATATGAATGTGTGATTTTTTTCTACCCCCATTGAAATCGCACTCCCAATGAAGATAGACAAGTAAAATCCCACTGAAAAATTGCAAGTGGTAAATCGAATTTTCTATTTTTTGGGGGTTACTTTCTAGATTTCTATAGTAGAAACACATGTTTGTTTTTGTTTAGATATTGTGTCTCAATATCTGGCAAAATATCCGCTGAGGCCAATCTTTGTGATACTGGAAGCGCTGCTGACCTTCATTCTTTGGGTCTCCAAGATGCACTTGTTGCGGTATGCTTGGAGCCATGGCGCTGGGTGCGTTCTGATTGGGATGTAGGACCCATCGGTAGCCATAGAAAATCTGGGCGGTTTCTGGAAGTTCATGTTGTGTTTACCCAAAAATAAAATACAGTGTAGTAAAAATGAGGATAAAGCATCCCTATTTTTGAGACAAAGCCATCTGGGAATCTCACGCAGACATTTCCGTCTTTTCCCAGCTAGCCGTCTTTCCGTTCCTGGGGGGTAGGAGCAGTGTATGTAGATGTTGCATCATTTATCCACCGTGCAATTTCCTGTTGACCAGTCTAGCTGGATGACAGGTGAACTTGGCACTGTTCTTATTGTGATGTAATGCTTTACAGGTTTGGTGATCAAAACTGTCCCGCTTTATATATACATTTGGTTCATGTGGGCAATAAGCAGATTCACATTGTCATAAACAGGCAGTATATGTCACGGTCTCACAGTACACCTCACTAAAACTTGAGCACTATCAGCGCTACAGTATCAATTCTGAAGGGAAGTTCTTATGAAACCATTTATTTGTTTGAATGCAATCTTGGTTTAATCGTGGGTGATTCATGAGGGGAGTACTGCAAAAGTGATGAATTACATACAGTACATGTATACTACTAAAAGCCTTCCCACCAGAATGTTGTACCAGTTGTCTATGAAGCTTGAGTTGATATTTTTCCGGAAAATGTAGGCAACCTCATAATAAAAACCTCATCAAAGAATGTTGTTGGGACAATGACCCAAAGAATGCTTAAAATTGCGTTTGTTTTCTAATTTTTGTATATGTCTGAAGGAAGCGTGGCTCATGTCTGGTTTTTCTCCAATCCACCTGTCACATTCCCACTAAAAAAGTGATCATAGCTTGGGGTTGACCATGCTTTATCCTTCAGCGCCAGATTCATCAATTGACACTGTTGCTCAAAATTTACTTTTTTGTTCGTGGTGAAATCACGATGAAAATCCCATTTTGTTCGGCCATCCCAGTTTTGTGGACACCACTGTTTGTTCGCTACAGGTGATTGGTGCGACCAGCGAAGAAGAGTACCTGGGACGACCAGAAGGATGATTGAACCCCCAAGAACTAACTGTATGAACCCACTGATCAACTCATATCAACTAGATTCAACTAGGATTTCGCACCTCCCTGGGTCTTTTTGATGTTGGTTTCGGCTTCAACTGGCACCGGAGGATGATCCCAGGTGGCACCAGCAGAAACTCGACCAGTCTGAGGTTCTTCTCTGCAAAAGCGGGCTTGGACTCGATCTTTCCTGGCCGGACGAACATGGCCACTCATCAGGACTGGAGTCACGTTGTCGGCCGTTTTTTGGAATTGTTTTTCGTACCATCCACAACGTTGTGCAATTCTTCATGGGGAAGATGGTGATATCTAATCAAGCAACATTTTTTGGGATAATTAGCCTATTTTCAGACAAGTCTTTGCTTTTTGGGGTACACATTACACTGCTTGGAACAGTTTTTGTTTCAACGGCTCAAGGGCACTTGGCCAGGACTGTGCAGACTTGCGATTCCAAGTTTGGAGATGGTTGACGTATCAGCGCCGCGGCTGCCCCAAACTGGTTTAGTGGGGACCATCCACCAGGGTACCAGGACCGCACCATGGGCATCCCTGTCAACCAGTTTTGAAGGGACAGAGGATTTTGAATACTCACATGGGTGTCACATTTTTTGCGTGGCTTAGTGCACCAAGAAGTTTTTTGCCAGGTGTGAATGTTGAAGCTGTCAAGAACTAGTTGGACGAATTAGTTGGGGATTTCCACATCGGGACCTTTTTTGATGGGATCAAGGGGATGGGATTGCTTTCCAGAAGTGTTTTTTGCCGAGGTTTAGCCATTCCGGTCTTTCGTATCTCGGCGAAATTGGGGAATCAAGGAATCACTTCTATCTCTTGGGGGAACACTAGCTGGACTTGTATTTACTTCTGGCTATTGTCTATATCACGGTCTATTCAATTAATGATTTTCCATTTTTAAAATATTTTAAAATGATGCTTCGGAATCCCAGCAACCCTCCATGACATGGATTTGTTCATGCTGGGATTTGGAATCAGATTTCAGACCACGTGGCCCCAAATCCCCAATCAATCATCGGTTGACAGATGATAAAGACAATTCATGAATATGATATAATGATATATATATATGGGAGCCGTCCAAAAACCCCAGAAAGGTTTTTAGTAAAGGACCTATTCTCGCATTTTTCCCATGGTCTAAAACCTGCATCGCGCAAGTTTCGCGCAAGGGCGGCCCAAGGTACGCGCAAGTACTATTGTTATCATTATTACAAGTACTATTTTTAGTTAACATTTTGATTACTACTACTACTACTACTACTACTACTACTACTACTACTACTACTACGACTACGACGACGACGACGACTACTACTACTACCACTACTACCACTACTACCACTACTACTACTACTACTACATTACCACTACTATTACTACTACTACTACTACAACTACAACTACAACTATTACTACTACTACTACTAACTACTAACTACTAACTACTAACTACTAACTACTAACTACTAACTACTAACTACTAACTACTAACTACTAACTACTAACTACTAACTACCTACTACTAACTACTACTACTAACTACTACTAACTACTACTACTACTACTACTATTACTACTACTACTACTACTACTACTACCAACAATTACTCCTACTATTACTACTACTATTACTACTACTACTACTACTCCTACTACTACTACTACTACTACTACTACTACTACTACTACTACGACTACGACTACGACTACGACTACGACTACGACTACGACTACGACTACGACTACCACTACTACTACTACTACTACTACTACTACTACTACTACTACTACTACTACTACCACCGTATCTGATTTAGATCTTAAATATTAATATCTCGAGTTGATAAACATAGATAACCAGGGTGGTAAATAGGCCATCCAAAGAAAAAGGAGCAGATAGATAGATAGATAGATAGAGATAAAGCAGCCAACGCGGTCCGGAAGACATGCAGCAGCAGCCCGGAGATGGTGAGCAGGAAGGTGTTTCAGAGTGGTTTCAGACCTCTTTTGGGCTTGTTTTTTGGGTACCCCCAGCTTTGGGAGATGAAAAAAGAAAGAGAAAAGGTAGAGAAAGAGACAGAGAGACAGAGAGAGGAAGAGGGAAAGAGAGAGAGAGAGAGAGAGAGATAGAGAGAGAGAGAGAGAGAGGAAGATGGAAGATGGAGACAAACAGAAGGCGAGAGAGAGAGAGAGAGAGAGACAGAGAGAGGAAGAGGGAGAGGAGAGAGAGGAAGAGGGAGAGGAGAGAGAGAGAGCGTTGTAAATGGTGAGCAGCGGGGTGTTTCAGAGTGGTTTCAGACCTCTTTTTGTCCGTAGGCTACCTCAGCTTTGGAGAAAAAACAGGAAAAAACGGGAAAAGAAAGAAGAGAAGGGAGAAAGAGACAGAGAGAAAGAAGAAGTCTTGAGACGGTGAGCAGGAAGATGTGTCGAACTGGTTTCAGACGTCTTTTGGGGCCGGTTATGGGGCTACCTAGTTCTTAAGACATCCAAAAGAAGGGACTCAAAACATATTGTACTTGAAACACATGCGGTCCGGAAAGACGTGCAACGGTCCGGAAAAGCAAGCACCCAAAACGTACTCTAATCGTAGCGATTGCGGTCCGGAAAGGCATGCAGCGGTCCGGAAAAGCAAGCACCTAAAACGTACTCTAATTGTAGATATCGCGGTCCGGAAAGACGTGCAACGGTCCGGAAAAGCAAGCACCCAAAACGAACTCTAATTGTAGCCATTGTGGTCCGGAAAGACCTGCAGCGGTCCGGAAAAGCAAGCACCCAAAACGTACTCTAATTGTAGCCATTGTGGTCCGGAAAGACCTGCAGCGGTCCGGAAAAGCAAGCACCCAAAACGTACTCTAATTGTAGCCATTGTGGTCCGGAAAGACCTGCAGCGGTCCGGAAAAGCAAGCACCCAAAAAGTACTCTAATTGTAGATATCGCGGTCCGGAAAGACCTGCAGCGGTCCGGAAAGCAAGCACCCAAAACGTACTCTAATTGTAGATATCGCGGTCCGGAAAGACGTGCAGCGGTCCGGAAAAGCAAGCACCCAAAACGTACTCTTATTGTAGACATTACGGTCCGAAAGACATGCAGCGGTCGGGAAAAGAGGATAGCACGAGACAGAGATGGAGACAAACAGAAGGCGAGAGAGAGAGAGAGAGAGACAGAGAGACAGAGAGACAGAGAGACAAAGAGAGGAAGAGGGAGAGGAGAGAGAGAGCGTTGTAAATGGTGAGCAGCGGGTGTTTCAGAGTGGTTTCAGACTTCTTTTTGTCCTTAGGCTACCTCAGCTTTGGAGAAAAAACAGGAAAGAACGGGAAAAGAAAGAAGAGAAGGGAGAAAGAGAGGAGAGACAAAGCAAGCACCCAAAACGTACTCTAATTGTAGCCATTGTGGTCCGGAAAGACCTGCAGCAGTCCTAATGTCTACAATTAGAATACTTTTTGGGTGCTTGCTTTTCAGGACCGCTGCAGGTCTTTCCGGACCACAATGGCTACAATTAGAGTACGTTTTGGGTGCTTGCTTTTCCGGACTGCTGCATGTCTTTCCGGACCGCGATATCTACAATTAGAGTACGTTTTAGGTGCTTGCTTTTCCGGACCGCTGCGCGTCTTTCCGGACCGTAATGTCTACAATAAGAGTACGTTTTGGGTGCTTGCTTTTCCGGACCGCTGCAGGTCTTTCCGGACCACAATGGCTACAATTAGAGTACGTTTTGGGTGCTTGCTTTTCCGGACCGCTGCAGGTCTTTCCGGACCGCGATATCTATAATTAGAGTACGTTTTGGGTGCTTGCTTTTCCGGACCGCTGCATGTCTTTCCGGGCCGCAATGGCTACAATTAGAATACGTTTTGGGTGCTTGCTTTTCCGGACCGCTGCGTGTCTTTCCGGACCGCAATGTCTACAATTAGAGTGCGTTTTGGGTGCTCGCTTTTCCGGACCGCTGCATGCCTTTCCGGACCGCAATCGCTACGATTAGAGTACGTTTTGGGTGCTTGCTTTTCCGGACCGTCGCACGTCTTTCCGGACCGCATGTGTTTCAAGTACAATCTGTTTTGAGCCCCTTCTTTTGGATGTCTTAAGAACTAGGTAGCCCCATAACCGGCCCCAAAAGATGTCTGAAACCAGTTCGACACATCTTCCTGCTCACCGTCTCAAGACTTCTTCTTTCTCTCTGTCTCTTTCTCCCTTCTCTTCTTTCTTTTCCCGTTCTTTCCTGTTTTTTCTCCAAAGCTGAGGTAGCCTACGGACAAAAAGAGGTCTGAAACCACTCTGAAACACCCCGCTGCTCACCATTTACAACGCTCTCTCTCTCCTCTCCCTCTTCCTCTCTCTGTCTCTCTCTCTCTCTCTCTCGCCTTCTGTTTGTCTCCATCTTCCATCTTCCATCTTCCTCTCTCTCTCTCTCTATCTCTCTCTCTCTCTCTTTCCCTCTTCCTCTCTCTGTCTCTCTCTCTCTCTCTCTCTTTCTCTACCTTTTCTCTTTCTTTTTTCATCTCCCAAAGCTGGGGGTACCCAAAAAACAAGCCCAAAAGAGGTCTGAAACCACTCTGAAACACCTTCCTGCTCACCATCTCCGGGCTGCTGCTGCATGTCTTCCGGACCGCGTTGGCTGCTTTATCTCTATCTATTTATCTATCTATCTATCTATCTGCTCTTTAAATGTATTTCCTTGTATGTTGTGTTCAAGTCTTTTCTGTCTGTAAATTGTTCTTTTCATCAAGGTCAGCTAGACCCCCCGAAGGGGTCTGAAACCACTCTGAAACCGCTCTGAAACCACAGAAGTTCAACACGTGCAGAGCTACTTCCCAGTACTACTTCCCAGTACTACTGTGTACTACAAAGCTTGCACAAACCACTTCCCAGTACTACTGTGTACTACAAAGCTTGCACAAAGCACTTCCCAGTACTACTGTGTACTACAAAGCTTGCACAAAGCACTTCCCAGTACTACTGTGTACTACAAAGCTTGACAAAGCACTTCCCAGTACTACTTTGTACTACAAAGCTTGCACAAACTACTTCCCAGTACTACTGTGTACTACAAAGCTTGCACAAACTACTTCCCAGTACTACTTTGCACTACAAAGCTTGCACAAAGCACTTCCCAGTACTACTTTGTACTACATGGCTTGCACAAACTACTTCCCAGTACTACTGTGTACTACAAAGCTTGCACAAACACTTCCCAGTACTACTGTGTACTACAAAGCTTGCACAAACCACTTCCCAGTACTACTTTGTACTACAAAGCTTGCACAAACTACTTCCCAGTACTACTGTGTACTACAAAGCTTGCACAAAGCACTTCCCAGTACTACTGTGTACTACAAAGCTTGCACAAACACGTTCCAGTACTACTGTGTACTACAAAGCTTGCACGAAGCACTTCCCAGTACTACTGTGTACTACAAAGCTTGCACAAAGCACTTCCCAGTACTACTTTGTACTACAAAGCGTGCACAAACTACTTCCCAGTACTACTGTGTACTACAAAGCTTGCACAAACTACTTCCCAGTACTACTTTTTACTACAAAGCTTGCACAAACTACTTCCCAATACTACTTTGTACTACAAAGCTTGCACAAACTACTTCCCAGTACTACTGTGTACTACAAAGCTTGCACAAACTACTTCCCAGTACGAAATACTAAGTGAATACTAAATATTTAACATTCGAAAACCAGTACGAGAATAATGATGAAAAACAACTGAAATGATGAAAGTGATCCGGGAGTGTGGTCGCGCAAGAAACGCGCAAGGTTGGCGCAAGCTCGGCCCAAGAGGCCTTTGTGGGAACAGTAATTTAGGACAACCCCCATATATATGTATATATGTGTATATGTATATATAATTATTATGATTTATTATTATATTATATGATACGCCCCTTTTTCCCTATTCCTGTTGATGAACTGCATCTATTTCTTGTTGGTTGCAGATGCACGGTTCATCGCTGGCATTCGCTGGCTTTCGACCCGAGCCTAGCGGCACGGGTCGAGATGAGTCCATCTGGCGAATCATCCCTCAGGTTGGCCGGAGTTTTCAGGTTGGTGGATTTTCGGATTTTTTTCAGGTTGGTACTACTAAATGTATTATTTACTGGACCATCATTTCTGGTTGGTTCCAAGATTCTTTTGTTCCGTTTTTGTTCCGAATGATGAATGATGATGAATTTTTACTTGACTCTGACATGTTGGCGAAGACAGCCGGAGCTGCCTTTTCTAGAATCGCTCCGAATTCCAAGGCATTTGGGTCTCAATATCTTCATGCTGTTGGTGGTGGGCATTCGTCTGGAGAGATATCATGGGCACTGGCGCACTTTGGTGTCTTGGGAGTCGAACATCTTGGTCGGTGTAATCGAGGTAGCCATGGACCAGATTTCGGACATGTGATCAGGATCCATCAGGGATCTATCTTGAAGCATCACATATCTACACTATTGGCTATTGGCTAGAAATATCTAGAAATATCTTTATAATGGCTTTGACATGTTTCTTTTGACCTCTTTTGACTATCGAGAATTTGGTGTCAACAGCATCATATGAGTTAATCGACTGAAGGGTGGTTTAATCATGTATGGCTATGTGTAGTTGTGAGGTCTAATAAATGGACCAACCTAAGGCTGGTCAATACAGTAGAACTCATCCAGATTGCCTTCTGGTAGTTTAAAACACTTCGCTATGGAAAATCGCTGATGTTACATCGGTAATCAATAATCATATCACAATCATCGGAAAACGGTCCAAATGTGCACCCCCAGTTGAGGCGCCACTATGCACGACTTAGGTGATCTTCAATCTGGGCGTCATTTGTGCCGCCTTCAACTTCGTAACTGGGCTCTTCATGGCTGGAAGTGAGACTTCCCGGAAGCAGTAAGCAGTAAGCGCCCAAAAAGATAGGAAAGTAGCACGAATTTCAATGGGTTGTTATGGGTTGTTACTTTTAATTTTAATGTATTTTAACATATTTTAACGATTTTTAATGGGTAATGATACTTTTCAATTTATGTTGAGGATGTCTATATGACTTACTTTTACGGCGTCTCCCATTTGTTCCCTTTTTTAGCAGGTTGTGACAGCCACGAATTCTGATCACCTCGCGACCTGGAGATCTAAGCTGCTGGGAAAGCCATGATGCCAATTTGATATGTCCGGCTTGGAAGTCAAAATCATTGGTAAACTTTGGTCGGATCATTTGAGTTGTAATTTCTCGCGGGTGAAGAATATGACCTGCTCTGAAGAGCGATGTTTCGGTGAGAGGATCCCTTCGCCGAGGCAGTGATCGATGGACACGCTAGCCTCATAGGCGCAGGGTTGTCCATGTCGGAATCGAATGGATTCCATCGCCCTCATATTAAACACCCTGCAAACGGTCCTATTTGTAAATCCTCTATTTGGCCATGGTTTCTTAGGGTGGTTGATATTAGGGGAAAAGATTATTCCTGAAAAAGTTCCCACAGTTTAGATGTTTTCTTTGAAAATTTTGGGATCCCCCCAAAATGCATTGGTGAATGACTGTTTTCCGTGCCAAAATAATGCACCAGTTTCAGACACACCCAGATAATCCCAGATATATGTATAGATCATTCATCGAATTTGTAAAGAAAACCAATGATAAGCCGCCAGTTTTTCAATGTTTTTCCATGGGCATTTCTACTTTGCCATTTCTGGCAAGTCAAAATGGACTTTTGGGCACAGGCATGTCTGGTGGCGTCTACGCTTTGATGGGCATGACCTTTGGCGTGGCCTGGTGGATTGGCGGATAGGAGTAGCTCCAATACTAAACCGCGAGTGGGGATGCTGTATTGTTATGTATTGTTGGGTTAACCACATTACATGATATTATATGATTAATATGATATATTAAACACATTGGCAAGTATATGTATATATAGCTTCGTCCAGGCTTCTGGAACTGCGTAAACCTGAATTAGGTTGGTAAAACTTGTCCATTCCGTGACGAAATTTCGTCGCGGAATTAACAAGTTTCATTTGGGTCATTATCATCATCATCATCATCATCATCATCATCACATCATCATCACATCATCATCAGCATCAGCATCATCATCACCATCATCATCATCATCATCACCAGAAACATGTGAGACCAGTTTATATAGCATCAACTGCTGCCGCAAGTTCACATGAACGTTAACATCCCACCCCACCCCCACCCCGCGTGTGCGTAGCATCAACTGCTGCCGCAAGTTCACAGCGTGTGCGTAGCATCAACTGCTGCCGCAAGTTCACATGAACGTTAACATCCCACCCCACCCCACCCCCCAATCGTATTCAGGTTTACGCAGTTCCAGAAGCCTGGACAAGCCTATATATAGTTATATACTTATATGTATAACCCACACACCTACGTGATATGTATATATATATATAAATATATATAACGTTTACATATAGGAATTACACATAATTATATAAGTAAGTAAGAAGGGCAAATGGTTGCAGCAGAAATGGAATTACACATCACCCAAGGTCAGTGTTGCCATATGATGCCATGCAAAGATGGGTGAATATGAATATGGGTATGAAGTTTCTTGACGCCAAAGCCATCATTTCCGCATTCTTCCACGGCCATAGATTGGGGCCCCATGTCTGATCAATCACATTTTGGTTCTGTATCCCATTCCCGAAGTTAAGCCCATATACTCCCATAAATTACAATTTCTGGACAAATTCACGTACAGTAATCATAAATTACCATACAATCGTACAAAAACATTAATCATCTATAGTCATATCCGCATGTTATATACATGTATAATCATTCGTTGGTGGTTTCAAGGATTTTGTGTTGCTTGGTGTCATCTTCGACAACTTTCTGTAGACGATTTGGAGAGATGAGCCCACTGTTGGCAAGATGTTTATTCGATTCTATCTATTGCTTCTGCATATACAATCTGTGCTAGATGTAAACATGTGCATATATATATATGTATACTGTATATATATATGTATACTGTATATATATATAGACATGTATTTATATATATATATATATGATTAATATATATATATACATATGATTCATATATATATATATATATACATATGATTAATATATATATATATAGATAGATAGATACACAGGTGTGTTTATGACGTTTTTGTATTATGTGATCTATGTATCTAATATGTGGGATATAGGTGGAAACCAACAAGATCAATAAACGGTTATTGGTTGGGCCAAACCACACCGAGAATGGGTATAGAAGACGCTTGGAAATGCGAGTGAAATAGCATGATATTACCGCACGAAAGCAAGCCACATCACCAGATGTCGTACAACTTTGAACCATCATAATCATATCGGACCAGGTGTTTGATGTATGGTGTACTTAACTTCAACGAGTTTCAACCCGAGTTGATCAGTTAAATCCCCATAGCTTTCAGCCCCGAATGTTTGTATCACTTAACCTTCAAACCCCCTTTTATATACTTTTATGAATTTCAACGATATTTAATTCCCAAATAATTGGGATATATCATATAATTAATATATTAATATAATTTAATATATAGATATATACATATAATATTATAATTCAATTCGATCCCCTTGGAAGAAGCTCATCGTTTTTCTTTTCCACCGCCAGTCCTTGATCCTGAACTGGCACGACACGCGAGACCTGGCCAGACGTTTTTCCATCCCATCCTGTTGAAAGGTGAAGCCACTGATGAACCAATGGTGCCACGATTTTCCCAGAAGATTTGCTATGTCTAAAGCCACTGGGAAAGGGAGATCTATTCGGAAAGATGTGTGATTTTGAAGCGTTTTGAAGCAAGCCATTGAACAAAATCCAAAACCCAGCGACTTGCGAATTTTCGGGATGCTGAAGCACCGATTCGAAGGGCACAACAGCTTTGGTGAACCAGACGCTGTGCGTGTTTGGATAGCATGACGTGCTGGAAAGTTCCGCACTTGTAGGGGATCTACTCATAATTCCATTCCAACAGAGTTGTGTCTATGTGTATGTACACATGCATATATGTATATGTATGTAGATATTGTATCCATACTATGTGCATATGTATACACACATATATGTATATGATTAAGGAATGCCCAATGTAACGTAAGTGAACTGCCAAGCACATTGGGTTCCGATATTGTTCGATGAGTGCTTCAGCGATTTATCATTTTTCCAGCTTCCGAGAGGCACCCAATTTGGGATAATTTGGGACAAGGCATGACAAGGCCATTTAGCCATCCAGGTCTTCTACGTCTAATTCAAAGACATTCCCTGAGGGAAACTCACATAGAAGTTGCAGAACCAGGCCTGTTTGGAATCCCATGGGGCTCCCTGAGGCTACCGTCGACCCGAGCTGTTCATGCTAGTGCTTCTCTTTCTCTTGGACTTGGCTTTCGTCCCTTGGGATCCAAAAAAATCAGGGTCGGTCTGGAAGCAAAATTCAGTGGATTCCTGTCCAATCTGATGAATCTGATGTTCCAGCTGTTCGCTTTGGGTATCGATCGCAGGTGAAAGAAAGGACTTGCAGCGCCCACTGTTGTAGATGGGAATGTCCAAACATTGGCGACACTTAGACTCATTGATTTTATTAGTGACACATGTTATAGATTGTTATAATAATTATTCTGTATTCTTGGTTTCTAGGTCTTCCAATCCGGACTTGCCCGATTTGAGAATTACTACCTTCTGATCCAAAACGCTGCTTTCAGAACCAGATTCACAGCGTTTGGTGTGAGCGTGACGTTTCAAGACGACCAGATTTGTGGGCTAAGATTCTTCTAGAAATATGGCAGTCGGGCCGAGAGTAGAGTATGTTTGCACTCACTAACCAGAACTTAGCCACATTGATGGAATTTGTATGATACAATGGGTGGAAGAAATCTTGCACCACCTTAGATGGTTGAAACCCTACAAATAATGGGACAAGCCACCGAGCAACTGGTGCAGGATTTCTTCCATCCACAGTATGTCCACTATATCCCATTGTTGATATTGTTTGTGCCAAGAACATCTACAACTGGGTAAAAAAAAAAGCGATCAGCCCTAAAAGTGGCGATTGTTTAATGCGAACGATGACCAAACCCATGGGTTTACACTGACTTACGCCGCTCATGCTACGCTAGAGAAGCTGGATCACGATGTGGACAATCAAGAATCACAGGAGTTTTCTTACTCCACTTGTCAAGTAAAAAAGAAACGGTGTTGTGGTGACAGCTAGCTTTTTTGGAAAGCGTCAACACCCTGACAGGATGTTTAAGAAGAAAATCGAGATTGGGGGAAGGCATTACTTATAGAATCTTATAGATTTAGACATATGGTTCAGAGATGTTCAGAGATAAAATCCCACTAACATGGTGGCAAATCACTTTTGTATTTGTGAGTTACAATCATGTTAGTCAGCAATAGGATCCACCATTCCCAATAGTAAACCATTTATATGGCTGGGATAAACCACTCATCAATTTATATGAGTGGCTTATGGCATTTTACTAAAATTGTCCCAGGAAAACCCCATAAATCCTACAAAATCCCATCAACGTCCCATGAATTCCCATGAAATGCCAACTGTTGAGATGTTCACTGCTGCGCAACCAGTCCTTCCCAAGGCTTATTTCGATAGCACGTCTGCCGATAGTGAGACCAGCAGCTCGATGGAGATTGCATTGCAGAGGGAACCTGGGGAACATTGAAAAAATATCCATATAAAATTTGTGTATTCACACATTATTCATGATTATTGATGATTGTTGTATATATATATATATCATATTATAAATCATATAATATGATAATAGTAATAGTAATCAATATATATATAATATAGTAATAATTTTACATATAGTAAAAACAATAAATAGTAATAACAACAATAATAGCAACAACAATAATTAGTAACATGTACATATAATCATATATATATATTTATTTATAATACATATAGTTTAGTAATATCAATAAATAGTTAAAACAACAATAATATTGCAATAACAACAACAATAACTATTAATATATATATATATAGTAATAATACATATATATATATATATAGTTTAATGATAACAAGAAATAGTTAAAACAACAATAATAACAACTATAAAAGATAATTGATATATATAAATATTCAGATAGATAGATAAAGATTTGGATCCCAAATGCTACGAGACCCATTTAACGGGGCCAGCTTGTCCATGTGACGTTTCGATGTTTACGCTTAGGTCACTCTGCGCATTTTGGTGGCTCCTTGGATGTCCTGGCAGCTGACCTTACCTCATAACGGAATCATGATGAGGATATGCCAACGGATTAGGGGAATCATTCCCAATATGGCCGCAAGTTTACGATGGATAAAGACGATGTTAGGATTAGCAGTTGATTACTGTAACATCCCCATTTTTGCATCGTAACAGGGGTTTAACAGGTTAGTGAAATATGATCATTTACACAGATGGTTTCTGATGTTTTGGAGAACAACGGCAAAAATGTGGGATGGAATGGGAAATCACTTTCAGAGCCAGAGGCATCTGACCTTGAATGATGAGACCGCATCGTCTAAGACTCTAAGACATGAGGATGCTTAGGGTTGCACCCTCTGGTGGTATCGAATAGAATGTCATTTTCATCCAGATGCAAGTGTTCAGATAGATTTGAAATTAATTGTAGGCATAGAAGACCGCAATATGATGCGTGGTTCATTTACAGTACCTCAAAATTACCCCAGGGGAAACTTACATAGACGTGGAAGCCATGGCCCATTTATGGATGTATTATTACCTGTTAAAAAAATGGTGATTTTCCATTCCTTCCCTGTGATCTACCTCCCTCGGCAGCCAAGGTTATGCTGCTGGCGTCATCCTGGGTAGCTTGGACTCAGCCCTCCAAGCGTCAACGGGATAGAGCTGTTTCTCAACATTGGCTTATTATCATTCCTTATTACCATCAGTTTCCCCATATATATATATATGTATATATATATAATATAGAGGTTTCCTGAAATAGGGGTACCCCCAAATCATCCATTATAATGGCATTACAAACCATCCATTTGGGGATACCCCCATTTATGGAAACCGCCACATATATATATATAGATAGATAGATATATATACATATATTACACAACATGACCATACATGACCAATACTTCTGGATCAGCACTTGGGGTCCGCCATTTTTTTTGGAAACGCTCTGTATCCGTATCCCTTAAGGTTTGATGGTTAAATCCCAGAAAACGAGCGTTTTTCAGGACCTCCCATAAAAATGACCACGTCTGAGGTGTTTTGGTGGGTCGCAACCTGGATGAAGAAGAACAGATCCAGCACGCGAAGACGCCCCTCTGCTCTAAGTTTATGAATGTTCATCATATATTATTTCGAAACGTTATTTCACGGGAAGTTTTGGATAGTTGAAAAAATATGAAAAAACTGCTATTTTTATGTGAATACTGATGAGGAAACACATGTAGGGTCATATGGGTCATATAGCAGAAGTGAAAGCGTTTTGATGTCCACGTGCAACGACAGGTTGCGATGTGAGCGCATTCTGCAAGGGATTTTCGCCAGTACAGGCGACCACTTGGGGCCGGGGTGGTTGGGTCCACCATGGTCCACCAAGTTGGTGGTCGTTTTGAATTGCTTTAAGTGTTTTTTGATCATCCACAAATGGTGGTTTTAACATGTTTTAAGATCTTAATTAATTATCCAAAGTTAAGGTGATATTTTAGTCATGCTTTAACAGTCTCAACCATCAAAAGCTTTTCGAAAGCGACAATTTTTGGCAAGCGACAATAGGAATATATGCAATTTGGGGTATCTGGAAAGATCTTTAAGATTTTTTGGCCTGTCGGATCTGACTTCTTGTTTCTGGAAAGTGCCATTTGCTCTCAAATCCTCACAATGACGTGTGCGATACGGAACGAGAATGAAATGACCAAGATTCCCTTGTTCAGAATATTAAGCATGCAAAGCGCAAATGGTTTTGTCTGAAAATTGGTACCACCATTTTTTCCCTATTCTGGGTATTTTTCCCATTTTCATGTCCCCCACACACATATCGTATCATATCTATATATATATATATCTATATATATGCACACACACACACATTATATACACACATTGTGCTTACCTATCCCATATCTTCTTCCATTTTATCTCATCATATTATATCCCCATTAAACCATGAGATTCATTGGTGAAATTTTCATGTTTCATGGTTCAACCACGATGTTTCACCACGTTTGCCGTTTCAGCTCCTGTAAAACCCACCATTTTTCTGATTAAACCCGATAAAGCCACCATGTTTAACGGTGAACCACCCTGTTTTACTGTTTCAAATCTCCAACAAAACAAGCTTCCATTGCAGAAATCAGGTGCAGTGGCCTTGTTGTTGGTCTTCGCTTGGATGGCGCAGTGGCCTCCGAGGCGGCGTAATGCTTGGAGGATTTTTTGCTGATTTGATATTTATTATTAAATATATATATATATATATATGTGTATCATTTATTTATTCTGTATCATACATATTATATCATAATATTTGTTATTATATGTTATTATATGTTATTATATGTTATTATATGTTATTATATGTTATTATATGTTATTATATGTTATTATATGTTATTATATGTTATTATATGTTATTATATGTTATTATATGTTATTATATGTTATTATTACTATAAAATTTACTATGTATATATATATATGATTGTGTTATATATATATATGTGTTGTTTAAATATTATTATACATTATATAGAATATTATTTAATATAATATGATATAATATAATATATTATGTGGTTATCATATACTGTATTGTATTATATAATATTATATTATATCATATTTTATTATATTGTATTATGATGTATTCTATTATTATATTGTATTACATTATATTATTATTGTCTTAAATTGTATTTATTATATATGATATAGTGTATCTATTATTTCATGTTTTATTACATCATATTTTTTATGTTTCAATATTATATATTATATTTTATTATTTGATTTTTCAACTTATATATTACAAATTATATATTATGTTTTATGTGATTTAATATTATGTAGATAGATGTTATTACATTATATATTTATTATCTATATGTTATATTCCATGTATATTATCTATATTACATATGTATATATATATACATATTATCTATATTATATATATATATATATATTAACTATATATTGTCTATATATTGTCTATATATTATATTATCTATACATTATCTAGATGTTATCTATATATATATATTTTACATAATATATAGTATATACTGTATATATTATTATATATTATTTTCTTTACATATTATACTTGTTTGTATTATATGCTATTTGATTATTATATATCATATATTATAAACCATATATTTTTTGAAATAATATGTATATATATATAGATTAATTCTATTATAGGTATTACGTAAAACAATACTTTATATATATGTATATCTTTATATATATATATGTTTATACTGCCCTGAAATACTGCCCTGAAATACTGCCCTGAAATCTTAATAGTGTTGAATCATATATATGACTAATGGATGTAATGATTTTATATGATTTTAGTTGGATTTAGGGGGAGTTATTGAGGCTTATTGGAAATTATTCGGAGTTGTTGACTTTTTGTGATGTTATTGGGATTTATTGAATATCGCATTGGGATTGTTTTTAGATCTATGTAGACTCATGTTGTTTGATGTCTTTTGCAATGTTATTGGGTTTTGTCAAAGCACTGTTTGACCTTGTTTGATGCTATGTATCGTCATGATATATACATAATCCATGCTACTTGTACTTGTCGTCTGAAAATGTTTTTTTTTGGCACTGTAAGTACCTACCCATCAGATCGGCCATGAACTTCTACCAGGTAATACCCCTTCCAGCTCCATGCGCGTGCGCGAGGACTTTGAGTGACACAACTCCCTGGTGCTGGAATCGACAAGTCTTTAATCAGTGGCTTGGCCATAACTCGGCCCTGTGGTGACCACTTGAGAGTGGTTGATTGGGGCCCTGAAAATGGGGGTGTTCCACTGGTTTCACGGGGATTAAAGACATGATCCCACTGAAGGCCAAGTCATTGCCTAAACAGAGGCGTGGTTGAAACCACCCGGTGGCTGGAGATTCTGAGTTACCCTTAAGCGGCACCGAAACATCACGTTTCTGTTGACAAAGATGATTGGTTGGTGGGTATTTTCCTTACCACATACTCCATATATATCCATGTATATATATATATATACAATTATACATATATATATACAATATTATATGATATTATATATAGGTATCCACGATTTATACGATACTACTTTTCTGTTGGATGGGGATTTTTGATATTTCATAATCCATCAATTGATTTATATCCTCATCAGGACCCAATAGAAACACATGTTTTTGGGGGAAGCACCGGCGATCAGGTCGATGTTTCCTGATGAGCCACGCAGTCGCGATTTAAGGAGAATCATGATTACCAAAAGCCGGGAGTTTGGGGTAGCAGCCGGGTAGCAGTTTTTCAGACAAAACCGGCAGTGTACCCTCTGGTAAACTAACATAGCTATTGAAAATGGTGATGTTCCATAGTTATGTTTGTTTACCATAGGGTATATGTTCGTATAATATGCAGCGTTTCGCATTAAAATTCCTGGTGTTTTCTCCATGGTGTTTTCGCCCATCAGACTTGAGGACATCAAGTGACCTCAGGAAGTAAATCCGTAAAAATCCCCCGGTTTTAAAAAAGGTCCATAGATTCCCATAGATGTATCATATTTGCTATGATCAACTATCCCATATCCTCAGAAAACTAGATATTTATTAGTTAAATCACCATTTTGATTGTGGTTCATGTGTGGTAAATGGGTACATGGTCCATCAGGGCTGATAACCACTTGATGTGGGAAATTGGAGATGCTACCTCTTTATCTACCCATGGTGCAGTTTCAGAACTTGTAATGCGGTAAGCCCTCAAGCCATCTCCAAAATCACCATGTACATGACTGCCGTTACAACCATCGATGGGTTTTGGGTTGGGTTTCCCACATAAAATGGTTGGGAGAAAGCATGGTGAGATGGATGTCCGGTCCAGCGTTCAGGTTCAGATACCATTGTGTCAGATGCCAAGACCAGCAATGCATCAGTATGCCCTGGCCTTAGCGGTGCAGAACAGCGGAATTGATGGGGTACCATAAAAAAAATCGCGAATTGATCAACCAATGTTTAGTAATAATTAGTAATAATTAGTGAATTATCAATTGGTTGATAAATTGATAAGTTAATCAACCAATAGTCTTCAATTAGTCTTCAACCAATCACTTGTACTAATTAGTGAATTATATATCAACCTTCATTGATTATAACTGAAAAAAAGTGCAGTAATTTATTGGTTGCTTTTTTCTCCAAAATTCACGGCTTCATTGATACAACGAGGTTCGAGGCCATGCCAAACACTGAGAAGGCCTGGGAACTCCGGAGAAGGAAATCCGGTACAGACTCTGGTAGAAAGCATGGGTAATTATATGGGGGTTTCCTAAAATATGGGTACCCCAAAAAAAAAATCATTTCTAGAAATTGGATTTTCCATTATAAATCAACCATTTTAGGGATTCCCCCATTTCTGGAAACCTCGATATAACCAGTGTATACCATGTATACATATGTATATCATATGATGGATATTGATGTATTACTAGTCCATATCTGGTAGAATATCTGTAAATCATGGTAGTGATGGTCATTCTGTATTCTTATTTGTTATTTCAACGGCCATTTCAGGAACCGATTTATTCAAGGTACCTACCATATATAAGGCCTACTTTCTTAGGCCTATGTAAGGGAGTATCCTCACAAAATATGGCCTTATATGGTACTAACGTACCTCCATTTTAGGATCCTGGAATTCCCATTGATTATTATATCATTCTAACAACCCCTTAAAGAGGATGCTGAAAACCTGGAAATGATGGAGAACACGTCATCTACTATTGGATCCTGGAAATACTGTTCTATTTTAGTTTGGGGGCTACTACACTTGGTTAACCAAAACGGACTACTTGTTAAATAATATTGTATTAAATCCCCATTTTTGGTGGTTGTAACGTGCGTCATTGTTTTTGTCGCATGTCATTTTTGGGGGTTGCACCAGTCATGGCACATGCTTAGCGCATCACCCCGTTGATCAGCCATTACCGGCTTCAAATCGGGTTGAACGGACGGCGTGATACGGCCATGAAGAAAAAAAACTGGAGGCTACAAAAGGTAATACCTGACGAAAGTGGTAGCGCAATACATTGCAATACAAATACTTTGTAAACCGGTGTTTGGTATTTACCCTCGGGCTTAAACCAGGCAAACTTTGGTTTACCCCTGAGGTTTGTCATCCCCTTGGGCAGGTGAGTTTTCGCATTTGCCAGCAAGCTGGCTGGAGCTACAGTTCCTGGCTTCAAACGTGTTGCGTAAGTGTTTGTTGTTGGGTTAGATCCAGAGAACCCATATACCTCGTTTGCATATACAGGGACTGTTTTGGCTTAAACATATGCGTTGGGTGGAATCGCAGTTTTACAGGGTTTTGGATAAACTCTCTACAAAGCTTTGTTTGGTACACGCTGTACTTATATACCTTCCTTGAATGAAATGAAGTTGTTTTGCAGAGTATCATGGAAACTTAGCTATGGATAGCTACTGTAACTGTACGTGTTTCAATTTTCCTTCACGTTCCAGCCCCTTTTTTTAGGGAGGAACCAACATTTTGAATATCTAGCAAGTCGGGACAAAGGTTTCCAGCCATGTGGTGACACTGCACGTGCCACCGAGGGGGTTGGAAGGCTCCTTTTCCTCTGGGATTGGAGCGATTTTGAGTTGTTATGTTAGGGCGGGGACAGTTGGGGGCTTAGATTTTAAGATCTTCATTTATTTATATTTATATTATATTTATATATATTTACATACATAATAGTATATATATATAGAAATGATGTGCATTACCTCCCCCTGCTTGGCATGATGGATCAGCACCAAAACTGTGATTGCACGGGACGCCTTTCCTCGACCATGAGGTCAATGAACGTGGTGCCACGGTGCCATGGGTTGCTGCGATCTCCTTGAATTTAGAAGATGTAAGCGATTGGAGTCTAACCCATTACCAATACAATAGTGAGATCTATATACATTTTTATAATATGTAGTATTTACAATATGTCGTTATATGTAATCAATGGCTACCCAGTTCCAACTATTTGCTGACTTTTACTGGGCAGTTTAAACATCTCATCTCCAGGTTTTCGCTTCCAAGCTTTGTCCAGCACTCCAGCACGCGGGTCTGTTACCGCCAACCATATCTATTTTTAGTGGTGTTTAATTGGTGTATGATGGAATATAATTGGATGGAAAATGGATGAAAATGGTATATGCAATCATTAATACGATATTTGGGTGTGACTGAAAAGTCTGAGTGATTTAACCCTATGTATTTTCATAAGGTAAGTACGGTGTTTTACCAGTGGACTGAGGCCCCCTATTGACAAACTCATGCTTTCGCAAATATGCATGGCTTTGGAGTGTCTAGAGCGTTTTCGCTCGCCTCTTGATGATTCTGGCTCAACAGAACCCAGCTCTTATCTCTCGTACTAATTGTGAAAGCACGACAGTCTGTACTACTTACATATCGAAGAGTGTCCTTGCCTGCGAACACACTGCGGTGATGTGGCAAATGCTCGTTGCCAGCTTTGTGTGGGGCATTCTTGTATGCGCAGCCAAAGAATGTGAAGAAGCTTGGATGCTCCAGACATCTGAGAGGCCACGACTCGACTGCCGTTTCCCATGGGATAGAAATACCAGTAGACATCTCAGGGGAGTAGAGAATCTTAACGATACCTTATCTACATTTCGGAACAAAGCGGATCGATCACTTACTTATATTAATATTACGGTTCAAAATAGGGCACCCCCAAATTGGATGAGATTGGATGATTCATAGGTGTTCATAGGCTGAAAATGCCCTCCGTTCATCACACCTAGCCTTGGAAAAGCTATCATGTACATGAGTTTGCAGATGACATATGACTCATATAACACAAATATTGCCTATTCATGTGTATATACACAATTATACACATACATATTGGCGGATGTCCCATAGTACCATGTGCATTCATAGCTTTACTTCCCACAAGGCAGTCAATTTCTTGATTTCCAAGCGGTCCCTTCGCGAGGCTTTTGGCCCCGCTGGGTGCCAAAGGGCCCAGTTTACAGGTGAAAGTCGAGGCTAATCCTACCATGGCCGCTGAGGGAGGCAGTCAGGCGAGACAGGGAGGGTCGGACAATTCATTGATTTCCCTTTGGTACTTCAACAGAACTATCTGGAGATTTCCAAAAATGGGGGTACCCCAAAATGGATAGTTTATAATGGAAAATCCTAGAAAAATTGATGATTTAGGGGTACCCATATTTTGGGAAATGGGAAATAGAAATCATCATTTCTAGGTAAATTATCTGTACATGGGCCATTTTCCAAGAGCTATTTGAAATGACCGGATGCTCTCATTTTTCAAATATTGTTTTTCTTCTTTCGGTGGTAGCAAACAACTGATGTGTTTTGAAAGTCTAGACACCATCATATACCTTGCAAGTAGGGACATATCATTATCCACATGATTAGAATATATGATAATACATGTGAAAAAATAGTAAAATTAAGCCAAAGCCTCATACGTCATTTTAAATTTTGCGGAATCAATATAGTCTTGTTCACGAGAACAACTAGATTTCATAAAGATTCTAGTAGAAATATCGATCAAAATTACAGTGCAATTTATATAAACAAGTATCTCATGTGAATATTGTGCGTATTCATAAAATGTATGATACTGATCATTGATGCGTGTAGTTATATATATATAGAGGTGGGATTGAATATGTTCGGATAAGTATTGACACAATGGATAATTATTTTGACTCAGACACATTTTTGGGGTCCACTAAACAATTTTGACCTGCACCTTCATGTCCTTTGTTTGTTTTATATTTTGGAAGATCACAATCTTCCCAGTGCCCCCGACTCCATTCGTCAATGACAATGCCCTGACAATACATACATATATATATATACATACATATATACATACATAGATACATACATATATACATACATATATAAACATACATATATACATACATATATACATACATATATACAAATATATACTAATATATACTAATATATACAAATATAAACTAATATATAATAGTATATACTAATATATATATATATTTACTAATAAACACAAATATATACTATCATATGCAAATACATACTAACATATACTAATATATACAAATACATACTAATATATACTAATATATATATATACTAATATGTGTATATATATACTACTATACATAGATACTAATATATACATACTAATGTGTATATATATACTAATTAATATATATATACTAATTAATATATATATACATACTAATTAATATTTATATATATATACACTAATAACTATATATATATACTAATAAATATATATACTAATAAATGTATATATACTAATATATTTATATTAGTATATATATTCGATACTAATATATATATACGAATATATATACACTAGTATATACACTAGTATATACACTAATTTATATATATATACTTATATATATATACCAATATACATATATATAATATTATATACTATATATATATATACACACTATATATATATATATACTAATTGCGAATGTGCCCTTCAATATTAATGAGAGACCCTGTTTCCCCAAACCAGCGACCCTGTCTGCTGCACCTTGTTTGGCTCTTGAATGCCTCACCCTCCCACCACTGCGGTGGTTTGATCCGACGCGCGGAGGCCGTCGGTGCACAAAATGGAAGGTGCAATGGAGACTCATGAACACTGTTCCCAATTCAACACTTGTCTACAATCTGAAAATTTTAGAGAAAGACAGTGTTATTTCCCGTGTTTATGAGTTGCACCAGAGCTGCCTTGCAACCATTTCAACTTCTCTCGTTTGGTGGCTCTTTGTTTTAAAGTCTCCGTCTCATCAAACAGCTTATAGCGACCACTCTTCAAACACTCTCGCAACAATCCAGATTCCATGCTCTTTGTAAGGGAATCTGCAAGCATGGCCTGAGAATTTATCCACCTTAGAGAGATGTTTTCTTGCAAACGCTTTCGAATTAAAAGCCATTCCAGGAGGGGCCGATGTTCATGGCACGCCGGTGGTGCGGTCTTCGTTGACACATCGAAGACTGATTTGCAATCGGTCACCGCATTACAATGGAGTGCATTGCTCAAAACTTCATTTGGTTCAGCCCAGTTTTTGCCGGGATTTTTCAACCATTCCCAAACGATCCTCAGATAGCTTAAGCGGTCAAGTGTAGCGCTTAAGGCAATTGCCTCGGCGCTCAAGGTCGAAGTGACCACTCTTGGAATTTTCCTCGAATTCCATGCCATTGGAGATACCACTGACATCTCATTCCTTGACAACATGCCATCAGTGGTAAAGATTAACGTCCCTTGTCTTGATGCCAAATCGGTGGCAGAAGGAAACGAGGCATCTGAGAATGCTGAAAAGGTCACATTTGATGTAGGTATGGGTACAATCATCAAACACACCTCATGTCATTTCCCCTCATACAAAACTCGATTTGTTTCCAGCAGATCTTTGACCTTTGCACGTGGAATGGAGGCTTGCAACTGTCCAACCTTTGCTGCTAAATCTGGTCTTGTATGTACAGCAGCATATTGGAGGCTACAGCACAAGCCACGGAGAAAGTGTCTCTCCATGTCGCTGAGATCGGCATCGGGGCTGGCGTGGCGGTTCTGTGAAACATTGATAGGTTCTATCTTCCTTATGTGACCCTCTGATCCATTTCGATAGTCCCATCATCCCACTTGCGATAATGTACCCCACAAAAGTCAAACTCATGTTCATTATACGCCCCAAAACTGAATGAACCGCCCCCTTAGTTTTTGGAGGATACTTCTATAATACGAATCCCCTCCTCCAATGCCGTCCTCAACGTGTACTCCCAGCACTCCTCTTACTTTGGGATTGCCTGTTGAGTCTTTGGTGATTAACACAAAAAGACAACCATCAAAAGGACATGCCATGAACCCAAGTGATTCCAATACCTTTCGGAGTTCCTTATACCATAGATATGGTGCATCAACCCTCCCATATGCACCACCCTTAAGGAGGCACTGGTCACCACCTTGTAGACCCAGGGCATTTCCAAGTTCACTTGGTGCATGTATCCCCAATGGTCGTCCATCGCCCTGACCCTTTAAAAAGGCAGTAGATATATCAAAATTGAGCAAGCTGCATCCTTTGCTTGCTACCAGCTGTAGCAGGAGTTGGCGTCCGTCTTTGGACAGAGCATCTCTAGGAACCTCTGACAAACCTGGATCCTCGAAGCCTAGCACAACCAATCGTGCCTTGGCACGTCACTCAACCCCTCCTACCTCTGGAGCTTTCCAAGTGAGAATCCAACGGCACCGCATGATTTGTTCTGGTTTCAAAGTTCCTCTTGTTACCTTTTGAACCGTGCCATGATCTATCCATGCCTTGATCTCCTTTTGTTTTGCAGCGTCAAACAACTTTTGATCCTCACTGCTCAGATGTCGATACTGTACCTCTACCTTCTGTTTCCTAGCATTGCTTGCAATAAGAACATGTTCAGCAAACAATGTATGGATTGGATCATGGTCATTTTCATGAGGAATATCGTCACATGCGTTAAAGGATTCAGTGGCTAGTTTAATCTCCCAGACTCCAGCATCATGTTCGGGTTCTATGAGGTCGTCCCCAAAAGCACACAATCCATCTTCATCGTCAGATCCCCAATCAGGTACAGGGACCTCATGTGGTTCCACATTTTCTGCTTCAACCTCATTTTCCCCTGTTGTTGTTGTTTGTTGTTGTTGTTGTTGTTGTTGTTGTTGGATTTTCGGACGGAACGGACTCAGGTGGGAACATCTCCATGTCAGGTTGCGACTGATCCATGGGTGTTTCAGGTGGTGTCTCTCCAACAGATGGTGAATACCCTTCAGACTCCACATCAATGGGTACATCATTCCCCAAATCAACAAAACCCCTTCCCTGTGGATTTTCATCTACTACTTCCCCATGGCTATTTCGTGGAAAACCTGTGATACTCACGTAATGACGCCGGACGAATTTGTTCAGGACTGGCTCTAATGATGCGTCCAAGATGACTCAACCAAATCACCTTACGCCCCTCAACAACAATCACCTGTGCTGGCCCATGCCAGCGACCACGTTCGCCCCTAGAGTTGGCTTTGTTTTGACGCCAATAGAGTACAGTACCCAGTCCCCAGATTCGAATTCCACAGTACCTGTTCGGTTCCTCCTTAACAAGGCTCTCTGGAATGTCGAATCATTGTCAGCTTGGACAAATGCACGGCGTGCCGCTTCTCTCCTTCGGAGACTCTCCTTGAACCATTGTCCCTCTGTCTCACTTTCGGCAAGTGCATGACTGCCAGTTCCTTTATCCGAGACAATGGATCCGGGGAGAGCCCGGGCTTTGCCCAATAGACACTGCTCAGGTGTGAAACCATGTATCCTACTGAGTGAATTTTTGGCAGCACAGGCTTGGCGGAGATTATGTTGAAATTCCTCATCAGTGCTGACCGGGAACTCTCTATCCAAACCGGGTAGTTAGTATGTCTTTCAAAACCCTGCCATGAACCTCACATCTCCCATTTTGCCAATGTGCCTCAGCTGCTGTCATGGAAGCCCTGATATTTTCAGTTTGGAGGTACTGAGCCCATTCCTCACTGTTATAGTTATATTCACCTGCAGGGTCCATATATAAGGTTTTACATGGTCCAGCCCAGGTTAGCCACGCCGTTTCAAAGGCTTTGACCTGTGCTTCAAAGTGCCGGTCACTATGAATACCCACATGGAACAAAGTAGCTTCATCAATAAAATGCATGAAATGATACTTCTTCCCCAATGAACTAGTCCAAAATGCCCCATCACAACCAACAACATCATTAAAATCAAGATTCTCATGAATGCGGGCCGGTTGTGAAAGTCGTGGTTTTCCTTGTGGCTCCAGCCACACGTCACACTGCATGTCTAGGGCCCCTTGAATCACTTCAGGTTTGGATCCCTTTGAAGTTCCTTATCCAAACCCAAAAATTTTGGCCCAGACTTTGGTATAATTTTTGGAGCCCATGCAACATCAATCCCACTTGCATGCTGATTCTCCGCCGGTACTTGCAATGACTCACACATTGGTGCGTCCG